ACATGATTCCCCCACCCCCTTCCTCCCCCCGCTCCTCCTCTTCGCTGCGATCAATGTCCCTTTTAATCAGCCCCGCGCCAGCAGCTCCTCAATGGATACAAGCATGGAACGTCTCAATGGATACATTCTCTCGGCCAGCCAATGGGGGCGCGCGGAAGGGCCGGTTGCCGTGGCGACGGGCCGGCTGGAACAGGTTGTGTTGATGAGTTTGTCATTCACAAAAACGGAAAGGAATTTCCGCTCCGGATAAGCCGAGTGCAAACAAGCGGCTCAGCGGGGGGAAGGAGAAAGGGGAGGAGCGGCCCGGGGGGGAAGGGGCAGGTGAGGGGGGACACAGCCGGCCGCGGCTCAGATTTCCTCCTTCCGACGCTGGGCTGAGCGCGGACGCAGCCAGCGGTGCAGTTATGCGAGGAACAAAAGGCACCTTCTTCCCCCTCCAGATCCTCTCCTAATCCTTAAAAGAACCGATGCCACGAAGGCGGATTCCCCCCCTCCCTTCCCCCGCCTCTTCCTAACTCGTTGGCGTTGATCTCAGCCGGGCTTTTCATTAAAACACCCTTGAAAGCCTGCTCTGCGCCAGGCGACTCGGCGGCGCTAGCTCTGTCCCCGATTGATCTTTGCAACGGGGAAGGAGTTAACGCCCGATTCATAGAAAACGGGGGTCGGAAGGGGCCTCGGGGAGGGCATCTCGTCCAACCCCCTGCAGGACCAACTAGTGCAGCACCCTCCACATCTGCTCCAACCCCTCTGCTGCACGCAACTGGATCCGCCGACTAGATCACCCCAGCCAGGGCTTTGTCTACCCAGGGCTCAAAAATCTCCAAGAATGGGGAGGCCACCACCTCTCGGGGTAACTTCTTCCGCCCCCCCCCCCAAAAAAAAAAAAAGAAAAGGAAAGGGCCCCGCGATCTGGGGAGCAGGAGCAGCACAGGGCGGGGGGCTCCGAGGCCGCCCGCGCCGGTCGCGGCACACCCGGGCGGGGGCGGCTCTGCACAGGGCGGGAGAGGGTGGTGCTCGGGCCAGTCACGTGGCGCTTTGCCTCGGTGGCAGCTTCCAGCCAGCTCGCCACAGCTCAGGAAGCCTGCCCGCCACGAGCCCTCGGGATCCTGCCTGGGGCATCCTCCCCGCCGCGGGCAGTGGAGAGGAAGATGGGCCCCCTTGTCTTAGAGGCTTCCCCCGCGTGGCAGTGATCCCGGGAAGAAAGAATCTATTGGATGGATCGCGGCGGGGCGAGTGTAGGGCAAGGCTTGTCAAAGCAGGGGGTGGCCAAGTCACGCTTCATTTGGGAAGACGTTTATCCCCCCCACAGCCCAAGAATTGATGGGGTGGTAACAAGTCCTAGTCCGTCGTGCCTCTCTGTAGCGGCGGATGTCCTCGGCTTGCCTCTCCAGGAGGAAGGAGGAGCCCGAGCCCGAGCCCGAGCCGGGGGTGGGTTTCAGAGGAAAGGATCGGGCGCAGGGAACCCGCCGCCCCCCTTGATCCGAGCTCCCTCCCTCCCGGGCCGGGGAGCGAGACGCCGCTATTGGCTCCTGTGCTCCCAGTCGTGACTGCCGGCCCCCCCCCCCTGCGCGGCGGGGAGGCAGCAGGTGCCGGGGCAGCCCAGCGCTCCCTTCGCCCACGAACAGGAGGATCTGCGGGATCCCGCTGGAGGATCGATCCTGTGCTGCCTGCAGGAAGGCGGCAAAGCAAAGGGCCCTGCTGAGCCGCAGGGATTCCGGGGCAGGGGAAAAAGCTGAAGCCCTGGGGCTTGGGCCTGTGCTCCCTCTGCATTTCAGCAGGTCCTCTTGGTTACTGCCGGCCAACGGCCCTTCAGGGGTCTGATCAGCCCCTGCACTCTAAGGATCTGCAAGGGGTGCCTGATCCCTGCGGGTTTTCTGGCAGCGCTGCTTTGAATGAAACACATCCTGGTCTACATTGCTAAGCCTGCTGTTAGTCCCTGCCTGGCTCTGCGATCCTTTCTGTGACACTGCTCCCACCCTCTGAAGTGATGAATGGCCTTATCCCAGGCAGGAGGAGGGCCCCTGGGAGTTAGATCTCTGCAGTAATAAGGCAGAGATTATTTGATTTGATTATTTGCTTTTTGCTTTTTCTAGGTCAGTGATTTCTGCCCTTCTAGGTCAGTGGTTCCCTCCTGCTCCTAGGTCAGTGGTTTGCCACCTTTTTGGACCAGGACCTGTTTGTAAATATTGATGGTCAGTCCTGACCCAGTAAATAGTTCAAGTAGAAAACTGTCCCCCCCCAGGCCCCTCACTCTTGACCCCAACTCCTGGGAGAGTATGTGGGGTATGGGGGCCCCTTGCAGGCTAAAACTCTCATATGAGAGTTCCCAAGTTTCCCATGTTTTTCTCCTTGAAAGGAGAATCCATTTTTAAAGTTTGTTGATCCATTTTTTAAGTTTGTTCATGACCCTTTTCTATGTTCTTGCACCCCATTTTGGGGTCATGACCCACGGGTTAAGAAATGCTGTTCTAGGTAACTCGGTGTTATGAATCTTCCTTGTATTTTCTGCACCAAAAATCTATGTTAAAAGACGGATGCAGCATTAGTCACTCAAGATGTAGGAAATGGCTATCTTAAGGTTGCAAGTGATACAGTAGTATCTTTAATTACATGTTCTCCTCTGCCATTTCAGAGGCGGCTGCTTCCAAAATGGGGCATATATGTGTTATGGAGAATGCGCTGTCCTTCAGTGCAGTGTTCAGCCCAAATGAGGCGAGCCCACTGTTTTAACACTGGCAATGCTCTGCTAAGGACCAGTCACTCAACTCTCTTTCTAAACTGTTGCTGGACTGTTGTTATAAAAGACTATCATTACCAAACTGTGTGGCTCCGTTACAATTTTTGCATGCTCAGAATGTGGGCCGAGCCAAACAGATGTTCATAGGCACAGCCATCCTCTTACTCCCTGCCAAACTTTAACTTCTTACTTTCACCCACTGTAGTGCTGAAGTAAACCTGTAGGCTCTTTGGGGCTGAGACTGTCTTTTGGCTGTCTGTTAGTACAAGGCCTCACATGACAGTTCCTGACCTATGATTAGGGCTACTATGGTAAACCATATAATAAAATAGTAATCAAAGTTCAACTCTTTTTTTTTTTTAATAATGGCAAAGTGTTTTCTGGCAGCAATCTCAAACATGCCCAAAGTCTTTTTCTTAAAATTCTATAAGGCTTTCTGTAAGGACAGACAGTTGGCTTAGAAAATATCAGCTGGAAAAGTGAAACTTATGCAAGACAAGAGAAACTACAGACAAGGTCTCAGAATGAAAACTCTTTGATAACTTTAATTGTAGTTCTCTCTTAGAGTCATAGCCCAGGTACAGACATTACACTTTTCCTAGTATAAGAGATCAAAAACCAGTCCATACCTGTAACAGAACAAAAGTTCAGCACACATAGACCGGCTTAAAAATGGTGGAACTTGATTTAAAATTTCCCCCTTCCCCCAAGGGCGAATGTACGTTCTGTTCGCTACTGAACTAAATGACACCACTTATAAAAAAACACGTAATTTAGATCGATTCTGCCTCAGGCTTTTTGAGTGTCTGTATCTAGCCACAGTCATAGAGGAGTAAAGCTGGAAGGGATCTTCAGAGGTCATCTAGTCCAACCCCCTGCCTGAGGCAGGATCACCTCTAGCCAAATCATCCCATATAAACCATAAACTCTATGTAAGACTACAGTCAGCCCAAAAGCAATACAATTTTTTGCCAGCCATATGAAAAGTATAACTTTCTGATCACAACATGTTTTTAGGAAGAAATAATATATTCAGATTATCACTACAGAGCATTTTTATGGCAGTTTTATGACAATGATGTAAAATAAAATTATAGTAATTAAACAGTTAAGTGAAAATTTCATTTTGTGAAAGCTATCAATCCTAATGAAATATTTTCCTCATACTGTGATAACAACTATTAGTAGGAAGCACTTAATACATATCTTTTATCTATAGATTTGACCATGTTGAACAAAGGTGAATAAGCATTGCTATTGCCATACATGACTGGAATTTTATAAATAAATGAGAATGGAGCCCAAAATGACAGCAAAAACTAAAATGAAGGGGTCCCATTCATTGGATGGAATAGGTATTTCCTAAATGGAGAAAGGTATGCACGTAGTTATACAATGTCATGATGCAATTTTCCCAGTACTACATCTTGATATTGCAGAGTTGCAACGCCAAGTTTGCAAATGCTGCATCACTGCAGAATTAAGCAGACTGATGACTACTGAGTGATAACTTATAGTAACAGCCAGAGTCTCTTCCAGCATGTTCTAGTGCTTAATCACTTGATGAGAATTTAAATTAAACGGTAAATTACAAATCAAGTCTTGCTTTCCATTCCCATTCCCCTTCCTCCTTCCTTTCAATAGATATGCATGCTCTGTTAATAGCTGGCAGCATGGGGCAGACTTGGTCACTTAGGTAAACTCCCATCTGATGTTGGTTCTAGGGGAGATCTACACTTGAGTTTCAGCTGGGTGTCAGTGGGAAAGGAAATTGCTCTTCATATATCTTTTAATTCACCTGACCTTCTACAGCCACTAGTTAAAAGGAGGATAGTAGGAACTGCCTTGCCACTTGGCTTTTTCACCTTCTCTCAAATTTAACATTTCATTTGGTGGCAGGCAGAGCTGGCCTTTGGACTTTGAAAAGGTTTTTGTTTTGTTTTGTTTTTACAGCTTTCATCCTCCCCCAGTTTGGGACACTGAATGAAATCCTCTCTTGGGCAGAGGCCCAGGAAAGGCT